AGGTTCAGTGAAGAATTTGAGGAATTGAAACATGTAGGTCGTGAACAGCCCTGTACTTTGCTGATCTACCTTGCAACCGACCGAAGACAGGTTCACTAACATCTTGCCTTATGATCACTCACGATTCAAACTGCAACCGGTTGATGACGAGGAAGGATCTGATTATATCAATGCTAATTATGTACCGTATGTATAGAAATGAAACTGCATATAAGTAATAGTAAACTAGAGGGAACAATTTATTATTATTATTATGTATATAAGTACATCATGCTAATGATTGTTTGTATCATCTTCTTTTTCTCCAGGGTCATAATTCTCCAAGGGAGTTCATAGTAACCCAAGGGCCCTTGCATTCAACAAGAGACGATTTCTGGAGGATGTGCTGGGAGAGTAACTCAAGGGCCATTGTTATGTTGACGAGATGTGTGGAGAAGGGACGAGAGAAGTGTGATCACTATTGGCCCTACGACACTTTACCAGCTTACTACGGTGATATCTGTGTCACTATTCTGAATGATAGTCATTATTTGGACTGGAGTGTCACTGAATTCATGATGACAAGGGTAAGTATTATAAAAAAAATAGAAAATTAGTGGTGTATGGCATCGTGCCTTAAGAATAAATGATTTTTTTTTAAAAAAGATGAAAAAAGAAGATTTTTGAGAAACTTTAAATTTTTGACAGAAATTTACTTTCTGAAAAAAAAGACTTTTTGAAGAAACATTTATTTTGAAATATTTTGGAAATTTTGAAGTTTTTTTTAAAGTAATCGTACTGCTTTAACTACATAGATACAAAATATCGAAGCGCGTAAGCGCCGCGTCGCAGTCTAACGGATAAACATTGGTACGGAACCCATAGGAATGTAAACAAAATTTATACTTATTGTAAAAAATCTCTATAAAATATCTGATAATTTGATGTGCATATGTCTAATGATCATTTTTGACCGCCAGATGGCATTTTTTTTACTTTTTTACTAGATCTCCGAAACCGCTAGACCTGTCTTTATGAAAATTTGATCAGTTCTTCATATTGTCAATACAAGTAAAATGTTTTGTGAATCATTAATATCGGGTGCTCCGTTCTCTCAAAAACTCATTTTTGGCACTTTTTTCCGTATCTCCGAAACGGCTAGACCTGCCCTTGCCAAAAACTAATCAGCACGTCTCCTTATCAATATGAATTTTTTGAATTATTCAAATCGCTTTATCCGTGTTTCCGAAATCGTCGACGAAAATTTGTATCCGCACATACATACATACCTACACACACACATATATCCATTTTTTCTAAGGTATGCCAAAATGTTTAGAAACTGCTGAAACGTAAAGATATATAAAAAATTTCGATTTCGATTTTTTTGCGAATACTATAACTTACCCTAAGGGAAATTAAAAATTAGATTTTTCTTGAGAATTCTTGAGTTTTAAAAACATTTGAAAAATTTGAATATTGAAAAAAATGGGAATATAGCGTTTTTAGAAAATCGACATTTATTGAAATTTTTGAATATTCTGATATTTTTTGAAAACTTTGAATTTTTTGATTTTTTTTAACGTTTGTAAATTTTGAAATATTGAAAGTCTTTGGTACCCATTCATGTCCATAATGTCGAAAATATTTAATTTAAAAAAAAAAAATCATTTTTGGGCTATTACAATAATTTACACCAAGGAAAGTTAATAAAGCCTAGCATATCTTACAAAATTAGGGAAAAAAGCAATATTTCGTCGACGATTTTGGGGGCATGGATTTCTATAATAGAAAAAAATTAAAAAAACAATTGCTACATGGTGGTCGAAAATAATCATTACAAATTTTTATTATCTATGTATTGTGGATGCAATATTTTGTCGACGATTTCGGGAGAATGAATTTCTATAGAAAAAAAGTTATCAAAAATAATCATTACAATTTATTAATATCTATCGATTTCGAGAGCATGGATTTCTATATTAAAAAAAAAAATCAAAAATAATCATTACAATTTATTATAATTTATGTGAATGTGGATACAATATTCGTCGACGATTTCGTGAGCATGGATTTCTATAATAAAAAAATAATCATTACAATTTATTATAATTTATCTACATGTGGATACAATATTTCGTCGACGATTTCGAGAGCTTGGATTTTTTATAATAGAAAAAAGTTTTAAAAAAAAATGCCACATGATGGTCAAAATCATTACAATCTCATTAATATTAATTTATATACAAATAAAAATATGATAGACAAGTGGACAGGTAAACATACGAAGAGGGGTAAATAGTAAAAATTCAAATTTTAATTTGAAAATTTGCTTTATTTGACTTGATACATACATATATTGTATATAAATCAAATTAATATAATAAATATAGTAATATACAATATACTGTGATACATAAAGATACAAATTGTACACACCTATTCTGGGATATCATACTATCATAATATAATATTGTTTGCATATATATTTGTTTCAATTGATATAAGTATGAAAAGAGCTATTAAAAACATACTGCCATCAAATAATATAAAATACAGGTAAATAGTAAAGTTTATCACTTTTAATATATTTCCACTATCTTTTTCCTTCAGGGAGAAACTCAGCGTGTAATGAAACACTTCCACTTTACAACGTGGCCTGATTTCGGTGTCCCATCTCCTCCTCAAACTTTGGTGAGGTTTGCAAGAGCCTTCCGGGAAAGAGTTGGTCCTGAACAGAGGCCTGTGGTTGTACATTGTAGTGCTGGTGTCGGTAGATCTGGTACATTTATTGCACTCGATAGGATATTGCAGCAGATCAGGGTCAATGATTATGTGGATATATTTGGTAAGGGAGAATTGAGATACAGTCACTACTGACTTGGGAAATATTTGGCAAAAATATTATATATATATATATATATATATATATATATATATATATATACGAGTATTACTAATATTTCTTTTACTAGGAATTGTGTGGCAAATGCGCAAAGAACGTGTATGGATGGTCCAAACGGAACAACAGTACATCTGCATCCACCAATGTCTTCTGGCCGTCCTCGAAGGCCGAGACAACACAGGACCCCCAAGAGAGATACACGAGAACCAAGGATTTGAAGGTAAGATTCCTATTTAAAAATCTCATTCAAAAAATCAAAACTTGTCGAATAAATCCTTTATCAAGGTGTTGGTTTAAATTGGTTTCCCCTAATGGTACATAGAAACGCTTAAGAGCACTTTGATTATGTTTTATATACACCACTCGCTTTACATTCTTTTCAACATTTTTAACAATGAGTATTAATCTAACATTTTGTTATAAATCATTTTATTGTAATCTAAATATTTAATGTTTCCTACTTTCTTCGTGTATTAGTGGTTACTAATTTTGGTGTGAGGATTGACTGCTTCGATGGTAATAATTAAACTATGAGCGCATTAATGTCCGCATTTCAAATACGAATTTTTGCGAATTTTAATATTCAAGTATATATAAAAGTTTTTACTAGAATTTAGTACATTTTATCTAGTTTTTAACTACGTAAATTAATAATAATGTCCGAAAAGAAAATTAAAAGTTATTTGAAGAAAAGTACAAAAATGTACTTTAAAAATTATGGGAATACTGAAGTCCACAGTTCAACTACAAATTATTCAAAATTTTAATATACAAGTGAATAAAATAGTGTTTACTAGATTTTAGTAAATTTCATCTAGTTTTCATTAATGTAAATAAATTTTAATGTCCGGGAAGAAAATTAAAAGTTATTTAAAGAAACGTAAAAAAATGTACTAAATTTATGTGAAGCAAATTATGAAAATACTGAAGTCCACATTTCAACTACAAATTATTCAAAATTTTAATATACATGTGAATAAAATAGTTTTTACTAGGTTTTAGTAAATTTTATCTAGTTTTTACTAATGTGAACAAATTATAATCTCCGTTAAGAAAATTTAAAGTTATTTGAAGAAATGTAAAAAAATATTTTAAATTCATATAGTATAATTTTAATATCCAAGAGTATATTACAGTTTTAAAACTGTTCAAACCAATATTTTTGTAATAATAATGTACATATAGCGCTTTTTTACGATTAACTCATTTTTTATAAAAACCGTGTTCTACTCATCGAGACCTTTCAAACGATATCCCACAACCCATAAAGTTAGGATCTAATTTTTTTGAAGTAAAACTTCTTTAGACTCGTTTACCAAAAATTTATCAAAAGTGTAATTTTTTGGACAAATCACATAGTTAATTAAAGGGTTTGCTACAGACGTTTTACACCTTTAAAATTCAAAAACAAATATTTTTGTTGATAATAATATGATTATATATTAGTAATTATTTTATTACAATTTAAATAGTTTTTGTATAAAAAATCGTTTTCTGCTCATCGAGAACTTTCAAACAATACCCAACAAGCCATAAAAGACGACCTAAATTTTTTGAAGTAAAACTTCTTTAGACTCATTGAAAATTTTGTTTTACTAGATTTTAGTAAATTTTATCTAGTGTTCCTTAAATGAATAAATTAAAATGTTGGAAATGAAAATTTCAAGACTTTTTAAGAACTGTAAAAAATGTCCAAAATTTACATATTGATAAGCGGTTGACCTTTAATCACGTGAGGAGGGGGGGGGGGTTGACAGAAAATCACGAAATATCACGTCGGGGAAGGAGGGTTACAGTAAGATATCACACATCAATGTTTTGGTTTTTTAAAAAACCAAACATTTTCAAAAAAGAATCAAAAATCTTACCATTTTTTCTTGTAATAAAAAAAATCACTACGAAATCACTATAAAAATTAACTATGTGATTTAAAAAAAAAAATAAGTTTTAAAAAATTTGTGTCAAACGAGTCTAAAGAAATTTTACTTCAAAAATTTCAGTTTGTATCTTTTATCGCTACACGTGAGATTTGGCGGGGGATGAGGGGCTAATTTTGAATTTCTACAAGGGGGAGGGGGGGTATAGAAATTCTTAAAAAGTCGATCACGTGATTATTGGACGCCCCCCAATTATCATCATGAGTACCAATTGAATTTAAACAAAAACTACCAAATAAATCTTTTAATATCAAATATAAATCGATTTTAAAGTTAATATTGACGCACTAGTCCTCAAGACGAGTATTTTTACCCGCCCCGCTTATAGTGCGTTAACCCAAACCAATTTATTCTCATTATTATTATTACTATAGCAGTCAATCCCACGAATCCATCTCTCGTATTATTAATATCTTCCGTGCCTAAAATCACAAATAATTTTCCTCCTAATGCGCAACGATTTAGACAAAACCAATCCGAACGCTCTCCTGGACGCTCCTTTGACCGGCGAAGCCGAAAAGGAGAGATGACGATTGCTCAACGGCGGCGGCGACCTCGACGGCGTCGCCTGCGACGACAGCGGCCACGGCGAAGGCGAATCTGACGAAGTCGGAAACTCACCTGGGAAAAATGATAGTGGAAATAATGATAGTGGGGAAAATGATAATGGAGATAATGATAGTGGAGATAATGATAGTGTTGCTTGTAATGGACCAGAGGATGATGATGAAGTTATGGATCGAGACGGTGATGTGCAGGATGACGGTGATGACCTCACTTTATTCGGCGACAACGACGGCGACCAAAGAAGCTTCAACATATCCAACGACGGCGAACTCGACTACTTCGACGGCCGTTTCAACGACACCATCAAAAAAGACGAAAACATCATGTTCGTTTACAACGACGACAACCCTGCTGACACCATCCGCATGAACCATTACCCCGAAGGCATCATGTCTCGTTCAGACACCGAAGTGATGAAACGACGCTCCAAAATCGTCTTAGACGATCGCACAACCAGATTCAGTGGAACTTTTACAACTTATCACAGTATATTTCCCACACGGATTATGCCAGTGACGTCGACGGTTTGTTGGATGACGTCACTGCTAACGATGAGGACAGCGGGGACGTGACGTCGTCGTCGCATAATGGTGACGTCAATGGAGGAGATGATGTCACACTGATCTCGTCTTAGAGAAAATTTTGGTTCCTGATTTTGGTGACGGTGAATAACAAGATTGACAACTACTAAGCTTGCTCACTAAGCATGATAGGGATATATGTATCACGAATGGTAAAAATTACAGCTTTAAATTGTGCAGGGTGTCCCAGAACTCAACGTCAAATCGGAACTAGGTTGACAGTATTGATTGTAACTATGATAAAATATATCTTATATTGTTTGAATGTTATGAGCTTTTAAGTACTACCTAAAACTTTGGTCAAACTGTCACCATTTTTTGGATATTTTTAAGTCGAGCAAATTAAAAATTGACTAGGAAAATACAAAAATGGACTACTGACAAACAAAATGATTGTACTGACGAGCAAATTGAATATTGAACTAGAAGACGAAAAGGGAAAAAAAACTGAATTTAAACTAAAGAATAAATAAAGGACTTTACTGACGAGCAAATTTAATACATCAAAAAGAAGTGAATTTTTATCTGATGATGAGTTCTTTCTTATCAAGTAGAGTTTTTTTTCACCATCAAGGTTTCTTTATGCCAACTTTCCTTGTCAGTAGAGTTCTTTTTTATCGAGCGTTCTTATTATCAGCAGTTTTTTTGTAAACTTTGCTAATCAGTAGAGTTTTTTTTTATCATAAAGTCTGATCCTGTTCTTTTTGCCAAATTTGCTCTTTGATAGAGTTTTTCTTATCACGACTTTCATCAATCGACGACGTCATCAATAGAGTTGTTTTTGTCAAGTTTTGTTTGTCAGTAGAGTTTTTTGTCAGATTTACTCTTCAGTAGAGATTTTTATAGAGCGTTTTCATCATCAGCAGAGTTCTTTTTATCAAATTTGCTTGTCAGTAGAGTTCTTTTTCATCAAGTTTGAGTAGAGTTTGTTGGCATCAAGTTTAATTGCCTGAAGTTTATTTTCGTCAAATTTGCTCTTCAGTAGAGTTCGTTTTTATCGACCGTTCTCATTATTGGCAGTTTTTTTGTTAACCTTGCTTGTCAGTTGAGTTATTTTTCATCAAGTTTGGTAAACAGTAGAGTTTTATTTCATCATCAAGATTCATTATTGGTAAAGTTTTTTGTCGTCAAATTTTGCTCGTCAGTAGAGTTCTTTTTTATCAAATGTACTAAAGTAAGTAAAGTTAATTTTTTTTGCATTATCAAGTTCGATTGTCTGTAAAAATTATTTTTGTTAATTTGCTCGTCAGTAGAGTTCTTTTTTATTGAGTTTGCTCGTCAGTAGAGTTTTTTCTTATCAAGTCTCATCAGTAGAGTTTTTTTTAATTATCAAATTTGATCGTCTGTAAAGTTTCTATTCAGAGTTTAAATATTTGCCGAATTTTAATTTTATTAAGTAAGCAGAGTTCTTTTTTGTTAGTTTTGCTCGTCAGTAGAGTTCATTTTCATCAAATGTTCTCAACGGTTTGTCTGTCTGTAAATTTTTTTTTGTTAATTTATTTGTCAGTAGAGTTGTTTTTTGTTAAGTTTGCTTGTCAGTAAAGTCCATTTCGACAACTTTGCTAGACAGTAGAGTTCTTCTTGTTATTTTTACTGAAAAAATGATTATAGTTTGACAAAGCTCTAGGTTGTACTTAAAAGCTCATATCTTTTCAAACTATATGTATAATTTTTGTTATTAAATTTTTGTGATAGTTGCAATCCCTGATTCGGCTTGACGTTGAGTTCTGGGATACCTTCTACGGTTCGTGATACATATAAACCACAACGTTTCTATTTCTTATATAAATTGCATGTTTTTACTCAAACATTTTTAACAATCATGGTAATTAACAATGTCATTGCATGTATTTGTAGACTTAAGTTAATAATTTGCATGCTTTATATATTGTGTTATATTAAAAGGACGAATTGTCTTGTTTGCTTTTTAAATCGCTGCAATATCTATTTGCTGTCTTTGCTTAAAAATTTATCGTGGTGAGTTCTTTTTATTCTTCTCAAAAATATCTTGAGATTAATATTGGCTTTATTCGTAGTACATGTCTATATATGTTTTAATTATCCAAATCTAGAATCAATTCCTTTGTCAGTAGAGTTCTATTTTATCACGAAAATTTATACATCTTTAATATCATAATTGGAGCATCCTTGCCACACTCCACTTTAGTTCACATTCTTAAATATATTATTAAAGTTGTCTCGTTAGCTAAATTTTTGCTCTAAAATTCTCTTTTTTCTTAATTTTTTTTGTTTATTTAATTTTTTCAAATATTTTATTCAAAGTTTCGAGGATTTGGAATATCTATATTCTTCAAGAACTACTGATACATTTAAAAAAAATATTATAAATGCATAAACTTATTTTTATATTGACAAAACTTAAAAAATCTTCACCTTAGTGATTACGCAAAATATTATCTACAAATTAAGTCGATTATTCACACATATCGGAAAGTTCAGACAACTTGCCTTAAGGCAAAATACCACTTATATCTAGTTTTGTCACTTAAACAACATTCAAACTGATTAAATTCATTTGTACTAAAAATTTTGAAGTAATGCTCACCATGCGTATCCAAGCCTAAGTAAAAATGTATGAGAAAGCGTTGTGTTAGGTTCGGACGACATGGAAAGCGCACTCATAAAATTTAAACTATTTGTCGAAAATAAGTAATATTCAATTAACATGAAGTGAAATGTGATTGACAAGTATACTCGTCATGCAGAAGCAGCAGAAATTTTTGTATTGACGAGTATATTCGTCATACGTATATATCATTAAAATTGGCTATTTAAAATTTTGGAGCAAAATGAAATATATTATCAAATTTTAGAATGTTTGGAATATTTTGAGGCTATGGCAGTATAAAATAAGTTGTAGTTGTAAGTGCCATCATGCCTTAAGGAAAGTTGTATGAACTTCCAGAAATAATGGACTTAATCAACACAAATTGATTATAAATTCAATTCTTACTTTTATATGTTATTCGGTTTCTTCATAATCCGTGTGTAATTATGCTTATGTGAACCAAACAAGTAAAAATTTTCAAATTTGTAAAATATTATTTTTTAGAAGCATGTCCAATTTGCATCTTGAATTAAATATTTCCTCTATTAATATTATTATTTTTTCAGATGATGAAGGCATAGCCGAGTCCGGCATGTGATATGTGAACGAGTGCTAATATTAATATTTTATCCCTATATTAAATTATTATTAAACAATTTAAATCGAAGACAATGTTTGTGTTGCAAAGAATTGTTTTTAACGAATGGTGATTACTAAATAAGATTTTATTTAAACTTTTAACTTAAACTATTAAGTTTTACGTATGTGAATGGTGGAATAGTTATATATTTCTATATTTATAAACAAAAAATGCAATATGTACTTCATGATATTATATGAGCGAATCGGAAATTGTGTGTGTGTGGTAATTGATTTAGGTGTAAGTGGAAATGTGGATTTTAACACTAAACTGAGAAATAATTTATTAACCAGATTTTCTGGTGGAAACAAACTTCTCCTTTAAGATTTAGTGTTAAAAGTTTTCAATCAATCTATATTGTATATTGATTCAAGTATTTTTAACTCGTAGCCCACATTTTTATATAATATTATTAAATTAAGTATAAATTAAATAACATTCAGAATAGCCATATAATAATATTCTATATATTTGCTACAGTCGTGTAATGGATGAGACATACTTTGTTTAAAGAACTATAATATATATATATATATATATATATATATATATTTAATTTGAGTTTAATATTTGGGCGTAACATCAATAAAATAGTAGAGAGTTTTTTTTAAATTTATTTATTTAAAATCCATACGTTTCGGCTAGCATCTTAGCCATCATTCAGTGGTAATCAAATTAACTATGAAAATTGAAACTAAATAAATTATATGTAAGAAAATTTTATGGAAAAACAATAATATTAATAATAATAATAAAACACTTACAATTTGTATCCTAATATAGCATATGAATCCATTATTAACTATAATTAATATTAATATAATTAATAATGGTTTCATATGCTATATTAGGATACAAAATTGTAAGTGTTTTATTATTATTATTATTATTATTGTTTTTCCATGAAATTTTCTTACATATAATTTATTTAGTTTCAATTTTTATAGTTAATTTGATTACCACTGAATGATGGCTAAGATGCTAGCCGAAACGTATGGATTTTAAATAAATAAACTTTTAAAAAAACTCTCATACTATTTTTATTAATGCTACGCCCGAATATTAAAACTCAAATTAAACATATATATCAACATCAAATTCAAGACTATTCAAATATATATATATATATATATATATATATATATATATATATATATATGTGTGTCATTATAAGGACCAAATCTTAATCCAGAAATACATATTCGTGGACTGATAGTAAAAATTTATATCAACCCAAAAAAAATTAGGAAAATTAGACAAATAGTTTAAAATTAAATTATTAATCATGAATACAAACACTTAGCAAAATTAATTAATTTATATAACACACTTTTCATGTGAATTCTTTGCTTCTATTTTATTATTTTTATTTTTTTATTTATCATTTATATTTAAATCAATTAATGGTAACAATTATGTCTTTAATTTGTTGTTGTTCATTAAACAAAGTATGTCTAAATATATATATTTAATATTTTTACCTAATGATGTGTCAAATCTATTCATACTTATGACAATATTTATACAATCGAGCAATTTTAAAATGTATTGGGTTTAAACAGAACTGAACATCCCAAAAGATAACAAAAGTGATATTAGTTTGTGCATGGCATTAAAATCCATCGAAGACTATTAAAACTAAGCCTATGTTCTTAATTTAGATTGGAATGTAATATTCACCGAGCTAGGATTTTTTTACATCGTTTGTTCAATTTATCATCGATAGGTTTACTTAATTGTTGATAATTTGTTGCATCATAAAATCCTGTTAATATTTTCAATATTGTTACGTGGTTATAACTTAGATGCAATATATTTTTGCATTGCTATCACTAATACGGAAAAATCTCTTTTTTACCCTTTACTCGACTTCTAAAACCACTTGTATTTATTTGTGGAGGTTAGTGGCATACGAAAGATACAGAATATACTTGATAATTCAAATATCTATTTATAAGTATTTGTTAGAAAGTGACTGTATTTGCATAAAGCCCTAATATTTATAATTCAGTTACAGTCCTATCTTCATATGAATTGGTAGTAAAAACTGTCAAACCTAACCTAAAAAACGCACAACGTTATCATATTATCTGTAAAATATATAATATAATCTGGATAATATATACTTGAAGTTGGGTTTTATATGTAAAACGCCTAATCACACAGCAAATACATAATTTTTCACAGTTTTTACTACTAATTTATATGAAGATATAACCATAACCTCAACTAATGAAAATTAATTATTACAATCTAACAATAAGATTGTAGAAAAAATATGAATAATTTAGTAATATGTGTAATTTAGTTTGTCTATTACCACAATACATTTTAATAATTGTTTTGCTACAATATTCTATATCTATATTTCATACTACAATTTTAAGCGAGATACTAATGAACCTAAACTGTGCTCATATAAAATTTTCTAAATTTTGTACTAAAAACAATCGTATTTTACAAACCTCTTAATATATTATCTCTACGACTGTTTGATGTATAAATACATGTAAATATATTTGGTCAGTACACTTTCTTCGAACTTTACTAGGAGAATTTTGTTTAATTTTCTGGGATTTTGATAAAACGCTTAGAGTCAAAACGAACACAGTAAAATATTATAGGCTTTTGGAAAGTGGTATAATTATTAATTTCTATAATCCAACCACTACCCTTAGGCCTATAATATTTTAATATTTACAGAATGTTACGAAAAAGTAAATCTAAATAGTTCTCCTTGTTAGATATTTTTACGCCCAATAAATAAATTTGTATTATTAATGACACATGTTTCATGAATGTGCAATGACTATATATTAATACATATCTTTGTGATTATAAAATTAATACATGTATACATATATTTTGAAAAAGTCGGAACAAATGATGGATATTTGTTTTTGATCTGCTGATTTTATGCTCATGGTTCTTACTGGCCTAATAAATACACCGTATATATTTTTCAAATAAACTCAAGGCCTCGTAAAAGGTTCTAAATAAGAAAATAATACAATTTTTAATTAAACTTTGTAATTCATCATTTATTTTTTACATCTTGAAGAATAATCTTTGAATTATATGAGAAATATATGAATTTTTGGTAATATTATATAACATACAGGATATTGTCATTTTTATGAACATTTTAATAAGATTTTTATAAAATTCATGAAAATTATGAGAAACGAACGGATATTTGTAAAATACATATTTTTTTTAAGACTGCAAAAATTGTATAAAATTTATAAAATAATTTAAAAATTTGTATTAATGAAATTTTGAAAAACTTAATTTCCATATTTTTATATGTTTAATTTCACAGAAAATGTTGATGAAAGTTTTATGAAATTATTAAGCTTATATAAAACAAATTAGTCAGTACATACTATTTTTGAAAATTTCAAAGATCTTTCTTCAAATGCTTAAAATCGAAACATTTGTTTTACAAGTAAATGGTACTAATGACGAAAAGCAGTCATTTTAGTTTAAAAACATATATTTGTGTATATAAATATATATATATATATATATATATATATACTTATATATATTATATCTTGATATTTATTTAATATAATATGTGGACATGTTTCACATCGTTGTACTTAACTTACACTAATTATTTTTGCAGGGAAAACAAACCATTTATAAAGACTTAAAAAATATTAATTTATTACATTATACATACATATTGATATGTAGCAGACATATAGAACAGCTACTACGTCGAAATAAAAAGAAATATTTATTCTGGTTTAAAACATTTCGAGACCAGATGAGTCTCATCATTCAGCAGAGCAACAGAAAACTAAACTAAAACACATCTATTGCAAATAATTTATTGTAAAAAAGCTTTAGTAGGAACATAATTAAGTTAAGTAAATTGGAAAATACTATTTTGAAAGTGAAATACATTGATGTTAAGATATTATGTTGAGGTTAGGTAACATAACCTCAATGTTCAGGAATGTTTTATAAGTAGTTTTTTACTTTTACAATGTTCTTTTTTACAATTTGCTTAATTTTATTCCTACAATTAGTGCTAAAGGATTTTTTCAATAGATTACTTACTAATTTATTTTATTTTTTCTTTACTCTGTTGAATGATGAGACACATCTGGTCTCGAAACGTTTAAACCAAACAAATATTTCCTATTATTTTGAAACTTTGGCTGTTTTACTGCATATCAATATGTTACAATGTCGATCAAAAAATTAAAATATAATTCTTTGTCATTATCAATGCTTTGTTTAATCAAATCGTGTATAAAATCTAGTTATACTGAATAATTGCTCATTAAACTACATATCTCTAATTTGCTATTAATGAATAAATGAATGGCTGTATATATATATATATATATATATATATATATAGGAATGTCTGATTACTATATGTGTATATACATGTATCGACCTAAACATACAAAAAAAAACTGTACTCTTCCAATGAAATATATCAGTTTTTTCTATACACGTTGTATGTGAATTTATGCCTTATGGCAAATTGTATAAACTTCTCGATATGTGTATATAATCAACTTAAACAAAAGTAATCATATTTTTGTGAATGGTTCATAACTATACCAAGTTTCTGTAATGCATCTTGCGAGAATATTGAATTTTGTATAAATTTTCAAAACTTGTTAATTATTTTTAACAATTGGTTTAAATAGAACACTTTGTTGTATAACAAACAAGCGCCTTAGGCATACACGGCGAAAAATTTAAATAATTAATTTTTATAATTAAACCACTGGTCTACCACAGCACTACAATTTTTAATATGATAATTAAGACCAGGAACTTTATTGCAATATAAAATCACCAAAAATTTGTTAAAAATCATTTAGGAAGAATTTTGTATTTATAAAATTGATTCAAAATTTTTGGCTGAATCGTGGACAAAAAAATGTTTGCACTTTTCTGCTAATTGCTAATCACTTGTGGTTTCCAAACTTTTTTGCACCGAGGTTATTGAATTATACACATTATTGTATAAAAAAAACAAGCGCCTTAAACACACATGGCGTATTTTTGAAATAATTAATTTTAATAATTTAACCACTGGTCTACCACAGCCCTACAATATTTTAGTATGATAATTAAGACCAAGAACTCTATTACAATATAAAATCACCAAAAAAATTGTTAAAAATCATTTAGGAACAATTTTGAATTTATAAATTGATCCGGAATTTTTGGCTAAAACGTCGACAAAATATTTGCACTTTTCTGGTAATTGCATGCCTTAGATCAAATACTTATCACAGTGATTTTCAACCTTTTTTCCACCGCGACCCCTGCTCTATTAAAAAAAAAAAATTTTGTAAATTTTCAATTGATATTATCAAAGTACAAATTAGTATGCAATATTACGTAAAATATGCATAAA